TTCGGAGTTTACTCTCGTCGATGGTGGATGAATAGAACTGACTGAACTGGTATCACACTGAGCACCAGAAAGTCGGACACACGTCCCCACGTAGTAATGTCTTTCGTAAAGCTCTCTACCCCGTCCGATTCTTTGGTGCTTATATTCTGATGCAGGAACCGTTCGTTGAAAGTGCTCCCTATTCGCACACTATGTGATCTCACGAGCGACAACTGACAATGGAACCCAAGAGATATTTATCCGAGCGCACCTACCAACCAAACCTTACAGGGTCGTTTCACCGTGAATTCAAGTGATATTTTACATTCTCATTCCTATCGTTTTAACTAACATAATACAGTTTTCCGTCCATATTGAAATACACTAGAATGGCATATAACGTCTATGCGATTGTGATCTTCTTGGGCGCCGTCTCCGGAGACGCCTTCGGGAACGTCACCGTTAATAAGCCATTGTCAAGAGAGGCCTTGATCTCTTCCTCCTGCAAATACATCAGTACCTCATTCTCCTCGAAAAAATATCTTTTACCTTGACTCCCTGAGGAAGCCTTAGCGTTCTAGAGAACTTGCCGAACCTGCGCTCCCGGACGGCATAGCCATTCTCCTCGTGCTCCGAAGAGATTTTGCTTTCCCCAGACACAGTAAGGTAGCCTTCGTGGACATCGATCTCCACATCTTCTTTCTTGAGACCTGGGAGCTCGAACGTCGCGGTGACGGTGTTCTTGGCAGCGTCTTCGTGGAGATCCATTCTGTAGAGAATTAGATGTTAAAAACGTGTCATCACTGCCAGAGTCAATGATAAAGCACATACCTTGGTTTCAATGCCTTCGTAGCAGTGTCGCCCGAGTCATGCGCAGCCTGTAATTGTTGGCTGGCGGGACGAGTGATCGCATCAAAGAGACGATCGAAGTTGTAGAAGGGCTCGTAGTAGTAGATAGACATTATGGTTTGGATGATGGGGAGGTATCGACGTGCGACATTCTTTTATACTCCTCTGACTTTGCTCGAACTTTCTGTTGCAGGTGACGAGTCCACCGAAATACAGCTCGAAGAAAGTTCTCGAACTTTCCGAGGGGGCGGCTCGGACTCAAGATATAGTCACATTCTCGACATCACTAGACGGAAAGATGGTCCAGATAGGGAACAGCCCCTATAGAACGCACCACGGAACTCGGACTTTCGACTCTTCGAGACAGAAACCAAGGGCGAATTCTTTGACTCCAGCGGTCTATTTTTGAGAGTCATCGGGATTTACCGAACTTCCTTCCTCCGGACCATCATTCAACAGGCGCATATACTCGAGTAACAAGCACTCAAGCCTACCGTACCTATAATCGAATAACGAAACAACGATGGTGAGACGCTAAGGTCGCCGCTTATCAGCATTTTCCCTGGCGCACTGCTGCCTCAGCGCCTAAGGTGACCGGTATTACAATCCCAGAATCGGGAAAAAAATTAGCCAGGCGTCAAGGACTCACCGGCACCCACGGCATAGTGTCTCGTTGACAGAGACTACATATCCGTGGCAAAGAAATGGCCTAGGCAGTTTCCGTCTTCAGTATCTAGTGAGTCTTGGGATCGATATCGCCTTGTGTCACCGTGAAGTTGGACGTGAGTTTTGCAAAGTCAGGACTGGTGTCTTATCTGTCTGATCGCTTTCTCGCTAGCTGTAGGACCATTTAAGACTGCCGTTGAGCCATTCGATGAAGGCTATTGGTACGTTTGTGGTATCTCGTATGCCTTTTTTAATTCCCAACATTCCTGACAAGGTCATATTGAACCATCGTATCGTCGCTACATCCTTGCGAAAATCACTGGATGATCTAATCTTCAATTTTCTTCATTACATGGGACCATTCACTTCTCAATCCTTACTTCGGACATCAACCGAATCATACACCTTACGACTTACATTGTTGACAACTACACTGCTCGTTGCACATGTAGCACCGTGTCCTTCCCTAATCCGCTTTTGAAATTTCTCATAATCCAAAGAGGCAGAAAAGTGGTTCAACACTCCCAGCCCTATCGCGTCGAGAGAACTTGGCGGTACAGGCCATCCAATAGCACCACCACAACTACACACTCACGAATAGAGATAACACTCCCGGGCAGAGTGCTACTGCGTTGATAAGTACGTCTTGTCGGCACCTGGCTGATACAGACCACCAATGAATAGAGTCAGTCACGCAGATCCCCGGTCTGTGCCATGATGCCCCGAGTAATCTGGCTGGCTCACGGAGGAAACATATTCCGGCGTGGATATGGATTAGTGACCGGCATGGGCGACGATGCGACTTGGGGGCGTTGCTGGACGGTTCCGGCAAAATGTATGAAGATCTGTCGGTTTGGTTGCAACTATGAACGTCAGCAGTTCAACCAGCTCTGGCCGTCTACGAATATTTCAAGAATGAAAGTGATGAAGATCGTGCCACCTGGTTCACCTCCTCGTCCAAGGCACTGCTGCTCATTCCTGGTCGAATCCCGTCTAAACTACCCCCGCGTCTGTCGTAGGAGCCTTGGCACAAACGTCTGTACCATTTTCATCGTTAACCCTCAGAGGCATGTCGTGGAAGACGAGAATACGATGAGGAAAACTCGACCCGGCGTTCGTGGTGACAATCTTGTGGACGAGAATGATTCGGAAGCCCACACACAAGGGATGGTGCGTGGTGAAAGATGTAGCGGGAGAGGCTAGAGCAAGTAATATCACGGTTATCTCGGTGGCCAGTCATTTCTGCCGGGGACAGTGGCGATATCGGTGTAGCTTCGACGATCGACTGATTGGCTAAGTCAGCCCTTCCCTGCCTCAATCTACGCCTGTTTCACTGAATAGAATACAGATTTTGAGATCCTTCGTGCTATGTACATCCTTACTCTAATGTTGCACCAAGTTCTTCGTGGTTTTCTGCAACACTGTCTCCGGTGTCGCTGGGAACGTCAACGTCAATCGTCCGTTTTTGAGAGAAATTTTGACGTCCTTTCTCTACAGATGACTTCAGCGCTTTTGCTCATGTCAGGAGGAATGTTATTGCACGCTTACCTTGGTTCCAGGGGGAGTCCTTAAACACCTGCAGAACACGCCAATGTTGCGCTCACCAACACTGTAGCCGGCCTCCTCCACGTCCGGAGTTTCTCCCCAGACCATGATCTCACCGTCATCCCAAGTAGTGTGTATGTCTTCTTTCCTGAGACCGGGTAGTTCGAGGATAGCGCTGACGGTGTTCGTAGCTCTGTCTTCGGAGACGTCCATGCTGTAGAGATTAGGCCGGGGACGCTATGTGGGCAAGAACCTGACAACGTACAAGGTAAGGAAAGTTTTTGCCAAAACTAGTTGCGAGAGAATAGGATTAGGGTCAACGGTGTAGCCCGGCATAGATTGGGAGGCAGTTTGTGACATCGTCTGTTATATGCTGGGGAGACAGAAACTAATGTGCAGGGGCCTTTATAATTCCTCGGTTGTTGCTTGAATGTTCCGGTGCCGTGCCACTCCGAAGACCTTGAAGCCCTTATTCCGGTTATAATTTTGTTCGACGGCGATCTATCTTTGTTCTTGCAACGCGACCACATAGGAGTAGTCTACAATTAGTGTACTTTGGCTACCCGAGTACACATGCTACCCATCAATTCGTGATGATATCTGCGAGAAGAAATAGTCCATGAATATGATGACGATGGTCGACGCGACAAACGTCGCGGGATAACCTCCGAGTCCCCTCATAAAGTAGCGCTGGAGCTAGTGTCTATTATGAGGCGGCGGGGTATATGATAAGACGTATGAATTAATTCTATGGGCAACCCTTTCTCAAAGTGACTCTCGGATGACCGAAGTGCCGCCTGTCCGAGTCACCTAGCTATGATCTTCATCGTCATCACTTGATTCATCGACAGTCTCCCATTCCCCTTCCGACTGGGCATCCTCTCTCTCATCCTCTTCATCCTCCTCCTCGTCACTATACGGGTCCTCCGATCCAACCGCGCGCTCCCCTTCTTTCGCTCTTTGGTACCCGGCATCGTCTTGTCCAGATACCACCCTGCCTTCGTTCTCCAGCACGTTCCGCCTTATCCTCTCCGAACGGATAGTCTTGCGAACGTCATCGTTGTTATTTGCAAACATTCGCATGACGGGCACGAAAGATCCAAAGCCAACTCCAGGACCTTGTCCTCCACCTTGTCCGAGAGCTCTCACTTCGTCCCTGACGCTTTCAACCTACAGCCATTATCGTCGTTCTATGCAAACAAACACAGAATAAAAAAGAGGCACACACCCATTCGCTCATTCTCCTTCTCACTTCCTTCTCTTCTCGGAAAAAATGGCTATACATGCCTTTCCAGTTAAAGCTAATTTCGAACAGATTTATCCCTGGGTCAAAATTGGATTGGAAATCCGGTAACATAGTGTCATTTACACTGCGCCTGATGTGAATCGTCACCCTCGCCGGGCGTTCAAATGAAGGTCCATTCTTGAGTATCAGTCTCAGTTTCCGAGCGAGCTCCTCCCGAAAGTCTTCATGGCATTCACCATATTTGAATATCGCCCGAGAGGGATCGGCAGGGTCGAGATGAGAAAATTTGAATTCAGAGGAGAGGAAGACTTTGCCGTGTTCAGAAGAGTGCCGGATGCCTAGAACAAACGTTGGCTTTTTGAAAAATATGGCAAGGGACCGTATAGGGACCGACCAGCATCGATGCGAATCCATGTCTTGTTCAGATGCTTGGTGATAAAGACTTGTTCGGCTGCTTCTTTAAAGCTGCGTGAAACTTGACGGCAAGTGATCCAGATGTCAGCGAGTTCTTCCACTGTAGAATGGAGAAAATTTTCGTAGAAAATGTCAGAAGGTGTCTCCTGAAAAGCCCCAGCAGACGACGAGGACATGTGAGTCAAGAGCAGCTTGGACGCCAACGCCACGTCTGATCTCTAAAACGCCTTGTGTTCAACTCGAAAGCTTGGTGGCAGGTTCAGCATCTATATATAATTTATGCGATTAGAATAAAAGTTATGGCACTATAGCCAAGTGGTTAAGGCGACAGATTAGAATTACACAAGTGATGGCATGTGACAATCTATCTGTTACTCTCTGAGTGCGCAGGTTCAAATCCTGCTGGTGTCGTTTCGCGAATTATAAGGATCTATTTTTTAACAACTAACTTGTTACTTAAGGTGGATTTCCGATTAAGTTAAACTTACTTATTAGTAGATACCAGCATTGAGCAAGTCTTAAATTTCTAATACTCAACACTGAAATCAAGTTTTGATATGATTGAGGTCTTATCCAAACTGTTGAATGAAGGCCTGATCTGAGTTGATTACTGATGGTCAGCAAAGAGAGGATGGCGGACATCGTGCGGTTTCAAGTATCCAGATTGATCTACAAATATACCTGACGAACTATGGTATTTCTGATTTCACACATGCAGACCTAGAAATTTGAAGTACATGTCATGGAAAGGTAGGTTACGGGGATCGGTCCACGAGGTAGCGCAATTTGAACTCGCCTACTGCAGGAGAAAACAATCAATATGTATACATCATACCCATCCTCCATCAACACTGATAAACGACGTGTTGCGCATGAACTGATCTACCTTCAACGTCAATTCTGCTCCTCGTTATCGTCAAGATGGCAGTCCACCGCACATCCTCGATAATCAGGCTCCTTTACGCGATCTGCCTTGTCCATTATATGTTGTAGCCTAGCATGGATCCACTGGAAGGTGAACCAAGATGCATCTCCTGGGCTTTTTTTTTGCTTCGCCTGCTTAAGCATCTTTGAATCTCAATATTCTGCGCCGCGTTCATTTTTGATTTCTTGTTTCCAAGCGCATAAAGAGCTATGCAGGGAAGCGCACGAGGGTCAATCCGCGTAAGACATCTTCATTGGCTCAAAACGAAGGACCAATATCCATCTCAAAAAGGAAACGGCCCAACTGCATCATCCCCCTGCCCCGCCACATCCTCCACCGCCCTCCTCAAACATCTCCTCCATCCACCCCACGTACTCCACCAGCTTCTCAACCATACCTTGATATCGCACACGCGCCCTCAGCTCCTCATCATGGGCATGCTCAGCCGGCGAAAAATCAACGCCACTGAAACCTGGGTCGGGAATCTTCATGAGCGCGTCCCGCAACTTCAGCAGCCCGTCAGCCCAAGAGTGGAGAACATACAGAGAGAGATCGCTCGTAACCTCCTGATGGGGGGTGTCACGGTGCAGCGGCGCGGACGGGAGCGAGCTTTGGGAGCTGGGCGAGGGTAGAAGCGATACCGGGATAGAAGCTTGTGGTGCAGCCAGAGGCATTACTGCTCGTCCGAGGGACGCCGATCGATGCCTTCCGATAGAGGCGGTATGTGTCTTCCAGAGTCAAGCTCGAAGACACCGTCGGTGTAAGCAAGAGGTGCCGGTATGGACGCTTGCATGGAGACGGGAGCGACGATGGCACCCTGCCAGTCGAGGAAGCAAGTGATGAATGGTCTCTCGGGGCTCTCAATGAGCATGCTTGATGCGCTCATGTCAGGATGCGCAGTGATGTCTTCGGAGTCGTACTCTAGTTAGCGTCGCTGGAGACGTGCCTGCTCCAACCCTATCATGAACAAAACTTGACGAAAAGATGAGCACGAGCGAGACTCGTAGGGAAAAAAATTATGCACACACAAGAACTGCAACCCGATGCTATACATTTCTTTTCCTGGGCACCATTATTGGTCGACAACAGAGTCAAACACCTCTTCTATACTGTTTTTTTAAAAATATCTACAGGACTCAGATATCGCACGAGCTGAGTCGACGGGATCCAGACAATGAAACTCAAATTCCGCGTCTGAGCCATGGTGGTCTCGTAAGAAGGTAATCAGTAAAGGGTGGGCACAATATGTGCTAGCTCGGCCTATCGTTTGTTCCGTTTCTCGTTTTTACTGGCTTGTGGTTGAAGCAAAGCCAAGTTTTGTTCGGCTGCTTCGTAACAAAGCCGCGTTTGACCGCGTCTTTGCATCTGTGTGAGACTGACCTACAATTTAGCCAACCTTTCACTCGGACGCAGCATGGAAGCAGGATTGCGTAGAAGATGTCGACAGGAATATCCGGAGATGGCGGAGGGGAAATGAGAGTCAGTCGAACGCTTCTTTTCTTCTGAAATCTGAGTCGAGTGGGCCCAAAGAAGCAGATCAGCGTTGTACGCTAGTGACCTTATGGCTGCATTCCATCCTGGATTAGGCATTCAAGTCATTAGCATCTCGGCCTACAATCGGCTGCCGAAAGGCTCGTTGATGGGGTCACCGAGGCCCCGACAATGCTTTTTCCTAGTGTGTTCACAAAAGCGACGTAGAAGAAAAGTTTGTGGGAGAAGGACAGATGCCACGAACAACATGTCCGTCAAAAAGAGAGAGTGGTCGGCATTAATCGGCCCGGACTCAGTCTTTCGCCAGATTCTAAGTACTTATGCTCATTCTTGATTAAAATTTCAAGCTTATCAGATTTTGGAGTGTACGCATCATACAATAGCGATCGCAGTCAGCAGAACTACTAGATCGAGATATATTGCCCTACGCTGACCCACTTCGTGTTCGTAGGCCAAGAAGCAGTCCAGGGGTGGACGTTGAATGGGTATCGATGAAAAGAAATGAGAATAAATAAGATATTGTGGTTGAGTGCATAGTTCTATTTAAAGGTATTCAAAGGGCGTCAGCAAAATGTTCTAATGCAGAGGCTGAGTCATTGCTACCCATCGTCTTCCTCTGATCTATCCTCTTCCGACGCGTCATTCATCCTCGTGAGTCGTCCTCATTCTCCTCATTCTCATTCCCCTCATCTTCGATTCCATCCCCCATGTCCTCATCCTCGTCTACATCGCTTTCACCATTTTCTGTGCCCTCCTCCATGGTCCAATGTTGCCTTCTCTCCAGTGTTTGGAATCCTGAACGGGCATTCCAAAATACATGCCCCGACCCTCCTAGCTCTCCACTTCCAGCATGCACCGCTTAATTCTCTCCAAGAGAACAAGACGGGCAATCTTCACACGGAAACTGCTCACTGGCATGGGGCCGCAGATGATGACCGAAGCAAAAGCCTGTGTGGCCCGAGCCATCTAAAGATAACATCCGGCGTCAAACACAAAAGCAACAATTAAAAAGATGCATACGGCTGTGTCACATCTCCTGTTCACCTCCTGCTGCCCCCCGTCGGAAGAAATTGCAGTGTGTACAATCCTTTCCAGCCAAAGCTGACCTCAAACTTGACGGCAGGGTCTGGGTCGAAGTTATACTGAGAGTTCTGGTTGCATAGTATCATTGGAGTCATCCCGGACTTGAACGCCGATCACGTCCGAGAAAGAAAAGTCCCTTCGAGGCCTCAACCCCCGCTCTACGAAGTAACTTTGATATTCGGAGTATTCAAAACACGGCACGGATGGGGTCGGTGGGATCAAGACAATAGGATTGCAATTTCATGTCTGTTCCAAGTTTGCCTTGAAAGCTACATGTGTCCCCTTGGAGATGAGTAAACTCGCACCGACTCTGAGGCAGAAGTGATTCTTTTACTCTGGAGGAAGATGTTCCTTTGTCTGCTCCCTGTAACGTCTCCCTAGGTCGTCCTTTCCTTGATTCCATTGATTGTGCAATGCTGATACTCAGACAATTGGTTTTCCTGGCAAATGCCAGGACTGTCGTCTGTGGAAAGGCAAAGAAAATCTACACCAGTGAATCTTGGAGCCCCACTGTGTCTCAATGTGGGTACGTGTTACCCTCAACGCTACTCAGGAGATCCTGGTCGGTCACTACCTTCAACATCTTCAATTACAGCCTCCGAATCCCCTTCCGATTCGGTGCCATCTTGCTCGTCCTCCTCACTAGAAACTTCCTCCTCGCTGTACGGCTCTTCCCATCCAGCTGCCCGACCCGCTTCTTTGACTCTTTGGTACCCAGCATTGTCTTTCCCGGAGACCTCCCTTCCTTCGTTCTCTAGGACGTTCCGTTGGATCCTCTCCGAGCGGATAGTCTTGCGGATTTCGTCACCAGTCCTTACATACATTTGCATGAAGCGCATAAATGAGGCAGCTCCTGAGCCATTTTCAGGGTCATCAGCGCTAGCCCTCAGTTCGTCCTTGATACTCTCAACCTAGGGGCAACATGTGATGTTCTGTCTCAAAGGAAGATCACGGACGTACCCAATCATGCATCCTCCTGCTCACTTCTTTATCCTCTCGGAAAAAATGACTATACATCGCTTTCCAATCAAAGCTGATTTCGAACACCTTCGACTCTGGATCAAAGTTTGATTGAAATGCCGGCAGCATGGTGTCATTCGCGCTGCGCCTGACTTGGACGATCACCCTCGGGCGTTCGAGTGAGGGTCCATTCTTGAACATCCGTCTCAAGCGACGAGCGAACTCCTTGTGAAAGTCTTCATGGCATTGCTCTCATTGTATATCGCGCGAGCGGGGTTGGTAGGGTCGAGACGAGAGAATTTGAATTCAGAAGCAAGAAAGACTTCGCCGTGGTCTTCAGAGTACCACTCGCCTGAAGTATTAAAAAAAGGATGAGGTTATGCTGGTATGGAAAGAGATACGAAGACTAACCAGGATCGATGTGAATCCATGTCTTTTTCAAATGTTTGATGACAAAGACGCGTTCGACTGCCTCTTTAAAATTGCGCGAGACTTGACGGCAGTTTATCCACAAAAAAGACAGATCTTTCACCCCATATTTGAGGATGATTTCGTAGAAAATGTCGGGAGGGATTTCCTGAAGCTTTCCAGTGGACGAATCGGAGGTCATGGAAGCAAGCAAAGAGCAAAAGCTTAGAAATCCGAACGGATCTTCTCAATATAGCAGGTCAATTTGATAACGATAGTACGCGTACGCGCGCCTCCGCGCTGCCCCGATTGTTCTGAGTCTAAGGCAATGGGAAGAGATGCTAGCAACGATACAGTGCTCCATGGTACTTTCAACACGTCGTTTGTTTTGTCTATCAGCATCCCCCTATCGAAACCGCATCGTAAACCCGGCGTTAGTAACACCAACAAGACAGAAATTTCTGCATTCAATGACTCTCAACTCATATGAATGCAGGCGTGAAGTTTTCAAGGAAGAGGGAGGAACCTTGAGTGCTGTTGGACC